TTTACCACCAAGGCGTCGTTCACAAAGAATTTGTTCCACCTGGCAAAACTGTGAACGCACAATTTTACGTGGGAGTGCTCGAACGACTACGGAAAAGAATGCTCCGCGTGAAATTGCATTACGACAACGCACTGTGCCACACCGCACTGTTGGTACAGGAGTGGCAGGCCAAACACAACTTGCTAACGCTACCTCATCCACCTTACAGCCCGGACCTGGCTCCACCTGACTTTTTCCTTTTTCCCCGATTAAAAAGGCAGATGAAAGGACGTCGTTTTGACACAATTGAGGCAGTACAAGAATACGTAACGCGTGGATTAAGGAGCATCCCGGTTGAAAATTTCCAGCAGGCGTATGCGGACTGGCAGACTCGCTATACTAAATGTATTAATTCAGGAGGGTGTTATTTCGAAAAATATTAACGACTTATACGAATATCTGCAATAAATTTGTTTTGATCAAGTCAGTCCTACTACTTTTGAAACGCACCCTGTAAACAGACCCACCACAGTAAAATTAGGACAACAATCCATTAAGATGCAAAAAACAGTGAAATATCTGGGTGTCGTCTTCAGACCGCGACTAAATATTACACCACATATTGGAAACATTACGGACAAAGCAACATTGTATAGCATATCGCAAGTGGCTAGAGCGTACTGGAGATTCAACTACAAAACAATGAGCATCCTATACAAAGGAATATTTCTCCCCATGGTCACATATGCAGCAGTAGCGTAGGGAGACAAACTAAGCTTACATCAAATTGGAAACCTTACACAGGCGCAAAGACTTGCATTAATAAAAATACAAAAGCATACAGAACAACGTCCACAGAAACTCTAGCAGTCCTTGCAGGCACAACCCCGATAGATCTGAAAATACAGGAACAAAGAGCTATATACCACATAAATCGGGAACAGGAAATCGAGGTCAAAGGATGGCAATACAAGCCAAACGACACGATAAGAAACAGCCACAATCCGGACAATATAATAAAACAGTTAAAGGAACACATCCTAAACATCTGGCAACAGCGCTGGGACGCCTCACCCAGAGAAAGAATCACCCATGAATTCTTCCCAAACGTGCGGAAAAAAACAGTAGCGAAACATATACAACCAGACTTCTATGCTTCCCAACTCATAACGGAAGCAGTGATTCTCATGGAAGAATCGGCGACAAGCTGCAAGCACTCAGGGAAAGTAAAACAAACACCTGCAGTTGCCGGGAACCAGACTCCGTCCTGCAAATCATCTTTGAATGTGTTCACAACGATGAAGAAAGATCCGAACTACGCCAGCACATCCGAGGAAGAAGAATTGAATGGCCCTGTGAACTATCAACTTTAACCACAATCCAAACATTCAGGCAATTCGCAAAGCTCGCGAAGAAAGCCATGAAGGACAAATAACAGAAAGAAAATAGGCAGCATCCGAAGATAAGAACAACAATGAAGACACCGCAACAGTGAAGACTAGGACAACGATAGAGATCCAGCATCCATGAAAACCAGCACGCAAAGAAGAGGACGCCATCAAATCCGTACACGATAGTGCGGGTGGTCAACCTTCGTACGGAAGTAACCGAATCGCTAACCGGTCGCTTTCCAATAGGGACGGCCTTCCCTTCGGATGATCCTTAAGCGGCGACAAAGGGGTTATTGCCTGCTCGGCGCGTCGCAGTGTCCAGCTGTAGGCGCGCACATCCATGGCACTGGTAAATCGCGTCTAACATCGCCAGTATAAGTTTATATTCGGTATGGCGGAGCGCCTCCATTCCTATGGAGTCGCGCTCCAATGATGCTCAATGTTTCTATCTACAGATTCAACGCTCAGCTCAGAACTGGCACGGACTAGGGGATTCTAACTGTCTAATTAAAACAAAGCATTGCGACGGCCCCCGTGGGTGTTGACGCAATGTGATTTCTGCCCAGTGCTCTGAATGTCAACGTGAAGAAATTCAAAAAAGCACGGGTAAATGGCGGGAGTAAGAGATTTTTTGGACTGATTCTATGAATGGGATTAGTAAAATTATCAGCTATACACCAATATTGGTCCAATGATCCTGCTTATTTGCAAACATTCCCGAAAACAGTCATGACAAGGAATAGATTTGAACTGTTACTAAGAATGCAACATTTTGTAGACAACAAAAACAATAATGGTTCCAATCGTTTATTCAAAATACAACCAATTATAGACACTTTGGAAACCAATTATCAAAAATATTACAATCCAACCGAGGACATATGTATTGACGAATCCTTGATTCCCTTTCGTGGCCGCATTATATTTAGGCAATATTTAAAACAAAAGCGCCACAAATTAAAATATTTAAGTTGTGCTGTAGATCGGAATATACGTATGCTTTCCGTGTATACACAGGGAAAACTTTAGAAAATGAGTTCACTACGCCCACTAACATTGTAATGTCTCTTTGCAAAGATTTATTCGATAAGGGACACACGCTCTACACTGATAACTGGTACACGAGCTGAGAATTAGCCGAAAAATTAATCAATAAAAACACCTATTTAGTGGGAACATTACGTTCAAATCGACGAGGAAATTCGCACTAAGTGATATCAACAGAATTAAAACGAGAAGAAATCGTAGCAACAGAAAATAACCAAGGAATAACCATTTTGAAATGGAGAGATAAGAAGGACATCCTAGTTCTATCGACAAAGCACTCGTCAGAAATGGTGAATGTTGAATGCCAATCAGGAAACAAGTTCAAACCACAAATTATAGTAGACTACAACAGACAAAAGGCAGCTGTCAACTTATCCGACCAAATGAATGCCTACAGCAATCCGTTACGTAGGACCATAAAATGGTATAGAAAACTAGCCTTCGAATTGTTATTAAATACTACGGTTGTAAATAATTACATTCTATACAAAGATATTACGAAGCAGAAAATTAACATTACTGAATTCCGGAAATAAATTAGCAGTACGCCTTACAAGTTGTGAAAAAGAAGACATTCCATCGAACAGAATTGCAAGAAGATCTAAACAACAACACAAACTCCAAAGAAAACCAGGAAAAGTCTCTGAAGTACGAAAATATTGTAAATTATGTTATGATAAAAATGTAACAAAAGATGGTAGAGTAATGGCCAGGAAAAAGACTAAGCGAGTTGTCACATTTTGTAATACGTGTATTAATCCTGTAATGAATCAAAATGAAGTAATTTTTAAATGAATTTTCTGTGATTCCATAAAACAGTGTAAGTTTTATAGTTCTATATCATGTTACACGCTGTCAGCCAGCGGTGGTTGACGCGACCTCAACGGAAAGTCTAGTGTCAGCCACCGATGGCTGACGTGGCGCTCAACGTGTTAAGGGGCGGTCGCGGGCTGGCACTAGGATCACAAACCAGCCTCTCATGGGCTGCGGCGAGTGCCGGCAGTGCGTCGCAAAATGGAACCAAAGCAGAACATCCAGGCTTCAGCGACGACACGGCGTCGCTCCTTCTACTACGGTAGAAAGGATGCATAACATCTAAGCAATTAGCGGCACTTCGGCGTCGCTTCTTTTTTTTATGCCATTTTTCAAAGCAACACGCGGCTGGGACTTGGCCGGTGGTGCTGTTGCTCAAATACGCCGTCGGGGACGACAAGGCAAGGAGTGGCGCTACGGCGTCGCTTCTTCTTTTTATGCCATTTTAAAAGCAACACAACGCTGGTACTTGTATTGATGGGGTACCGCAATCGAACACCTAGGCAGAAAGCAACGCCTCTGCGAAAGGCAATGCCCTGCCTGTACCTGTTCCGGCGAAAGTGTAAAAAATGTGTCAGCCGCACACCTGGCTTATCCCCTGGCCGGACGACCCCGCTATCTTTACTCGGTGTCAGAAAGCATCATGCCGCCAATATTTATACTGGTCGGTATGATGAGGAAATACACCATCCCAATTCGCCGGGGGACGAGTAAAGGTAGATAGGGACATAATGTCAAACACACCTTGACAAAAGCAACACGCCGCCAGTACTTGTCTCTTTCGTGATGTTGCCCAAACACAGTTACGCTACGGCGCTGCTCAAATTTTATGAAGTCCATTCCAAGCGGGGCACTGTCGGTGCTTCGCTGCATCGAGACATAGTTTAGCAAGCGACCGCCTGCACGAGGCTCCCGTTGCAGTTCTCTTCGGAGTTCGCTGAGAGTCGCCTCTGCGCCCAACGGTCCCGGGGGCCGTCTCCCCCCAGGACTGGATCTAACTGGCCCAAATAATAACAAACCGCCTCGGATGAAAAATGTCGGCGAGCCCACTGGCTCCGCCGACCCAGTTAGCGACTCGCAACAGGACGGTGAAAGGTTGGCCTCCGGAGTGAGGACCTTTCACTGTTAATATGCGGACTGTGGCCGAATCTTTAAGACCAAGATCAACCTGGGGGTTCACCAACAGAAGGCTCACAAGGACTGGTATGACAGAAACCAGCTTGTGGAGCAGTCCTCCAAAGAACTGACAAGGACTAGGTGGAACCCTGAGGAGTCCGCTCTGTTGGCGAGGCAAGAGGCCAAGCTTCTTACGGAGGGAGTCAAGTTCCTTAACCAAGAGTTGGCCAAGGTCTTCACAGACCGGACCTTGGAATCTATTAACCCCTTCCCGTACTTTAGCGAGTCAGACTCACGATGAAGATTTTTGCCCAAACATGAATATCGCGACTCAGACTCGCGAACATATACTTGGGCCAACCGTAAATATCGCGAGTCTGACTTGCGACCAGATACTTGGGCCAAACGTAAATATCGCGAGTCTGACTTGCGACCAGATACTTGGGCCAAACATAAATATCGCGAGTCTGAGTCGCGAACAGATACTTGGGCCAAGCGTAAACATAACAAGCCGAGCTCGCGGACTGATTTTTTGCCCGTTACGCTCGTGACTGAATGTTAGTTCCTCTCAGTACCTCAGAGCAGTTAGTCACGATTCTTATCGTTGCTGTTACGAAGCAGTTCAATTATTAAAATTTAAGAAACCCCTTCAAAATGCAAGGTACAAAAGTGTTTAGTGAAGGCCGTGATAACGAATCTTCTGATAGTGACGTGATTATGCCAGTTGCAAAACGAATAAGGCATATGATTATAGATGATAGTAGTGAAGAGGAAGGTATGACAGAACAACCATGGATTTGACGAAAAGTAGAAAACACACCAATAGTTTGGAAGTATTCTGAACATCATGGAATAAAGGCGTCTGTCTTAAATAATTTAAGCGACAATCCAACAATACTAGACCTATTCTTTATTACATTTGATAAGAAATTTTGGGAAAGCCTCGTTACGGAAACAAATCGCTTCGCAGATCAAACAATACACGACGAGCGAAAAAAACGATGTGTAGACGACACTTGGCATCCTGTCACTTTAGACGAAATCAAGGCCTATTTTGCACTGTGTATTTTGATGGGTCAAGTAAAAAAATCAAGTATTCAACTTTACTGGACTAAAAGAGCTGTATTAGAAACGCGAATATTTAGAGAAACGATGCCATTTAAGAGATTTCGTCAAATTTCGAGATTTTTACATTTCTCCGATAATGAAACTGGTGATAGTAAAGACCGACTTCGCAAGATAAGATCGGTCATTGATTTTTGGAATAAAAAATTTAAAGAAATTTACACACCCAATGAATATGTTAGCATAGATGAATCCTTGATGAAATATAAAGGACGTTTAGGGTACAAACAATTCAATCCGTCAAAAAGAGCTCGGTTTGGAATAAAAATTTACAAATTGTGCGAGGCAACTACCGGTTTCTGCCATGGATTTAAAATATATACCGGCCAGGACAGAACTAATCGACACGAGAGTGCGTCGGAGAATGTTGTTATCGAATTGTCAAAATCTATAATAAACAAAGGGTACACTTTATTCCTGGATAACTGGTACTCTTCGCCTAACCTGTTTCTAAAATTACACCGTCAAAAGACAAACGTTATCGGGACGGTACGAAAGAACAGAAAAAATATGCCACAAGACATGCAAAAACATATTTTGAAGAAAGGAGAATTCGTGTGGAGATGTTGCAATAATTTGATAGCTTTGCGATGGAAGGACAAGCGCGACGTTTATATGCTCTCCAAAAAACACAAAACAGTAGAGATGGTCGAGCAATCAAACAAACAGTTACAGAAAGTAATGAAGCCGGTATGGGAGCAGTTGACCATCAAGATCAAATGTTAGCCTGTTTCCCAATAATGAGAAAAGTCATGAAAGGATATAGAAAACTTTTCTTTTACATATCAGATATGGCTCTATTCAATACCTATATTATGCAGAAAACAATTTACAGTCGAAATCGGCAGACTTATGTTGATTACCGTATAGATATAGCGGAGGCAATTTTGCAAATTGTTAAATTACCGGACTACAAAATGCGTGGAAAACCATCAGCTGAAACGCCCCTTCGACTCCAAGCCCAATATTGGGCTCATTTCCCCAAAAATATAGATCCGACACCTCGAAATAAGCATCCAACAAGAATGTGCAAAGTCTGTTACAAACGTAAAATACGAAGCGCAACGAAGTGGGAATGCTCGAAATGCCAAGTGGCTTTACATCTGCCGGAATGTTTTAAGACATATCATACCGTGGAGGATTTGTAGAGTTGTATGTATTTTTTTTACATATTTAGTTTTCTGATCAAATTTTTTTTAAATAATATGCTATTTCCTTTTAGGTGCAGTGTTACTACATATTTGAGAACAACAAACTACATTCGAAAACTGCTATATATTTTCTACAATAATATATAAACAGCTATTATATACTACATTATTATATACAAAATATAATAAATTTATAATACCTATAAACGTAAAAGCATTAGAGTTTACTTCCTCAACTCCAGTATCGCGTAAAACTGACTATATCACAGGTACTGCGGGCATCTACATTTCGGATCGTATTGCGACTGTTTACAAACATCAGTCTGGTCTGTTTAGCGCGCGTTGATGCGGACCGCTCGGGCCCGAGTTTCGACGAGCTAAATGGCACGGGAATGGGTTAAAGGACAACGACGTAAAGCTGAACACAAGTCTCTTGTGTCCAAGCTTCTGAAGGAGGTCGTCACAGCTCGGGACGAACACCCGCCTGAGCGTGCGTTTCAGACCCCTAAGTGAGCACTTGAACGACAAGTCGGATGCCCTGGTGTTAGATTACTTGACTTCCCTGCCACCGATCAAGACCGACAAGTTCGACGCCAAGCGACTGGAAAACCTATGTCGCTCAGCTGGGGGGTTATCCCCAAATCACATCCTGGAAGAGCTCACGTTGTACCTCTTGAAGGCCTTTCCGAATAAGCCACGGAAGGAACGTACAGCCAAAGGGTCAAAGCAGCCTGACCCTAAGATTTCAAAAAGACGTGTTCGAAGAGCCGAGTACGCAAAAGTCCAGAAAATGTGAGGGAAAACCGCTCCAGCTGTCTAAGAACGCTGCTGCGGGATAAACAAACATCCAATATCCCGTCCCTCATGGCGTCGAAGAGCACGTCCACGCCCGGTGCCAGGAAGCCCGCTAAGCTCCTTAGCGGACTTTGGTCTCCAGTTTCGCCGCTGGAGATCCGTAAAGCTATGCCGCCAGTCGGCACGGCTCCTGGCCCGGACGGCCTGTCTGCCAGAGACTTGAGGGCTGTCCCACAGGAGATTCTCACTCGCGTTATCAATCTTCTTCTAGTTGCCGGGCGACTGCCCGCGCATCTTATGGAATCTCGCACGACCTTGATTCCGAAGAAAGACAACGCCACTCAGCCATCTGAGTTTAGACCCATCACGGTGTCATCGGTCCTTGCCAGAACCTTGTGAAAGGTGCAGTGAGAATATCTTCCTGCTTGATTTTATACTATCGTATGCCAGACAGAAGCATACAAATATTTTTATGGCCTCCTTGGATGTGGAGAAAGCCTTCAACTCCGTGTCGCACAATGCCATCAACGACACTCTGCTAAGTGCAGGAGTTCCGCCGCGGATGGTCCAGTATATAATGAGTACATATAGAGGTACAGTCACGCGTCTCGCGTGCCAAGACTGGCTCTCCCGCCCTATACGTCCGGGGCGCGGAGTTAAACAAGGTGACCAACTGTCACCCATGATCTTTAATCTGATCATTAACGATCTGTTTGCCAAGCTGCTCGAACAGGTAGGCATAAAACTAGGCAACATGTCAGTCAACGCAATGGGATTCGCTGACGACCTCATACTCATAGCAACCACAGCAGCCGGGTTGCAAGAATTACTCGACACATCCGCTAAACACCTATCGAAATGCGGACTCAGTGTCAATGCGGCAAAGTGCTTCACGGTAAGTCTGAAGGGAAATGCCAAGACAAAGAAAACGAGTATCGATGCCGACCAGATTTTCACCTGCTCTGGTCGACAAGTACCGCCTTTGAAATGATCTGATGAGTGGAAGTATCTCGGCGTTCCATTTACCCCAGAGGGCAGAGTAATAGGCGAGCCCTTGGCGAAGCTAAGGGCCGACCTAGAGGGGTTGACCAAGGCACCCCTCAAGCCGCAGCAAAGGCTGTTTGCTTTAAGGACTGTCGTACTTCCAGGACTATTCCACCAACTTGTCCTAGGCCGAACGACTATAAGTCTACTCAGAAAGATCGATGCAATCACAAGACTGTTTGTGCGAAGGTGGCTTGCCCTCCCGCACAATACGCCGAACGCATACTTTTACGCCGATTCCAAGGATGGCGGACTGTCGCTCCCGACGTTCAGATGGTGCATACCGCTCCAGAGGCTACATCGTCTGCAGAGCCTCAAGGTACACGAAGGGACCGTGATACCAAGCAGCATCCAAGCGTTCTTGGATGGAGAAATCCGCCGAACTGAGCTTCGCCTCAATGATCAGGGGCAAGCTATGACCACCAAGTCGGCTTATAGGAAGCGCCTCGCAGAGCGTCTTCACATGTCCAACGATGGTCGCCCCTTGACAAGATCTGGCGACGTCACTAACCAACATAGTTGGGTGACCGACGGGACCACCTTCGTCTCAGGGAAGGACTATGTGAAGATGCATATGCTTCGTATCAACGCTGTTCCGCTGAAACTGCGGACAGCAAAAGGCAGGATGAGAGACCGCCATTGCCGAGCAGGTTGCCACGACGCAGAGACACTACACCATGTTCTGCAACTCTGCCATAGGACGCACGGCCCTCGCATAAAGCGGCACGATGCCTGCATCGATTACATGTGCAAGTACATCGATGCAGGCCATACTGTTCACAGAGAACCTATCTTTCAAACGTCTACCGGAAGACTTAAGCCTGATGTGGTGCTGGTAAAAGACCAAACAGCCATAGTAGTAGACGCGCAAGTCGTCGGCGAAAACGCCGACTTGGAAAAGGCACATCAGGCTAAGATCTCCAAGTATGAGGGGCTAAGGGAGCCCATACTTTGGAGGTACTCTGTGAACGAAGTGTCATTCACATCTTTGACACTGTCCGCGCGAGGGATATGGAGACGTCGATCTTTTGAGCAGTTGGTCGAATTGAACCTCCTAAAGCGTGCAGCCGCCAAGATAATCTCTACCAGAGTTTTGATTGGCGGTCTGTACGCTATTAATATCTTCAATAAGTCCACTGGCGTGAAGAGGGGAAGCTTACGGTAGCTGGCACTCCCGCCTGTTGCAAGGACTTACTGTGCTGCCTGCAGTCTCAGGCATAAAGTAGGAATTTCGGTTTAGTGGGTATTCTGCAAGTGTTCCGCAGTACATCAGTGATTTTTTTATCCTCAAAATGTTCATTGCACCGCGTAAAAGTATAATTGATAGTGAGGAGATAGAGTAGTGATAAAGAAGTAGTGAGTTTTAGAAGAAAAATTATAAATAGAATTTCATCGAGTTCAGGCTCGGATATTGAGGAATCATATGCAAGTGAAGACCTTGATGACACGCTAGAAGAACTTGCCATAGACGAAGAGGAATTGACCACTGCTAATAATTCATTGAACAATATCGAGTGGAACGAGTTCACTAACAAGCAACAATCATTTCCGTTCACCGGAAAAAGTGGGCTTCTGTTGGATTTGCCGTCTGACATTAGCCCAAATAAAGTTCTTTCGCTATTCTTGGATAAAACAGTGATAAGCCTGTTAGTCACAGAAACTAATAGATATGCAGAGCAGAAATTACTTGAACGTGAAATGACTTATCACGCCAGACAGAATAGATAAAAACCCGCCACTTCCGAAGAAATTAAAAAATTTATCGGACTGATGATTTGGATGGGTCTAGTACAAACTCCGCTCAGAAGATGTTGCTCAACGGATGCTATATACTATTTTCCATTTCCACACAGCACAATGTCCCGCAATCGTTTTGAATTACTGTTAGCAAACTTGCATTTTGCCGACAATGAAACGATAGAACAAAATAGCAGACTTGGAAAAGTTTTACCACTTGAAAACGTATTGACGGATAATTATCAGAAAGTCTTTTCACCAGGCCAATATATTTATTTATTTGTAGATAATTTTTACACGAGTTATGAATTAGCACGTGGCTGGAACGGTGCAGCACAATAAAAAAGATATGCCATGTTTTGTAATGTCGTATCCATTGAAAAGAGGTGAAATGGTGGCATGAGAAGATCATAATGGTATTGTAGTGCTAAACTGGAGAGATGTTCGCGGTGTTAAAATCTTATCAACAAAACATGCACCCATCGTGACAACTCCAAGCTCAGATTCTACTCATCGCGGTCATCCTCCGAAAATGAAACCTTCGGCGATAATGGCGTACAATATTGGAAAAACTGGCATCGACAGGAGCGACTAGATGGTGTCATATGCAAAAACATACGAAAAAGCATCAAGTGGTATTGCAAATTAGCATTACATTTACTTTTAAGAACAACAATCGTAAATACACATATCATGCATCAGAGAGCTACACAAAAAAATAGAGATAAGAAAATTCCGGGAACTTTTAATCATAGAATGGTTGCCCTCGAAAAATACTATGCCCGACACTAATAGAGACACGAAAGGAGGAAAGTGTCTCACCATTTGGAGATTCGTAAGAATCAGCAGGACAAGCCTGTAAGAAGGGTATGCGTCCCGTGTTACCAAAAGAAAAGACAAATTGTCGAACGCCAACAAGCAAGGAAAAACGTTAAAAAAAACGACAACGTATTGTTTGAATTGCCCAAAATCGCCACAGAGGTACTTGGACTGTTTCAACGAATATCATACAACGTAGATAATGTAATATTTTATCCTAAATATAAATTAATAAAAAGCATAGTATAATATGTATATTTTTTATATTTTTATGCTGTATATTCTATATTTATATTTCAGTGCTTGTTCCATTAAATTCATTTTAAAAATCCAACTGAAAATCTTATTTAACTTAAACAAGAAGAGCGTCACCCATATTTAGGTGACGGGGCCCTCACGGAAGCATACCCCCGTCACCCAAATATGGGTGACGCGGCGACGAACGTATTAAGATGTTTCCCCCTTCTCAGCAGGGAATTTTCCGGGCCGAGACGTACGAAGGCTTCCATAAGCTACATCCTTCAAAATCGAAATGGCTAAAAAGTCTACGATGGAGATTGATATTCCACGTCCAGAACCTAAGAAGTCGGGCTCTGCTCGCA